TTGTTGCAGGTGTTCATTGGGCAGTGAGTCCTATAATTAAACACACAACCTCCTGAGGGAAGAGAAGTGGAAATACAGATACATTTTCATTACAAACAGAATTACACCATCACACTGTTTCTGCATCTTGCCTTTGTTTGTTTAACAATATGTTACAGATATCATTCCATGATGGCACAAAAAGATTTACCTTATTTTTTACTGGTTACCTATGCCGCTTTGTATCATTCTTTATATTTATTTATTTTAAAGATTTTATTTATAGGATTTGTCCTATATGTATATTGGATTTATCGTTTCTATAACTAGCCCACACTACTTCCCTAAAGCAGATCCCGCTGTAGTAATCATCCGAGATCCACTTTGTGCATTTGCAAAATCGTTGGCTTCAAAGGCATACATCATGTCATTTCTTTCTCCAGTGTAACTGATTTGTTTTCATTTGTTTCTTTACCTTTTTATCTGTTTCATTCCAGCTGCACAATCTGTGGAGTCAACTTACTGCCTTGATTTTCTGGAATTAACGACACTGATAGGACTATGTAATAAATAAAATTTTCCCATACAAAATAACACTTATCAAAACCAAAATACATGATTAGCATGTTTTATTATTTTCAATTGAGTTTTATATGCTCAATCTATCTCTAGTTAAGAGGCAGTAAGAATGGTTAAGTTCTGTCCTATTCCGCATGTATCGGTGTCTGTGTGTGTGTGTGTGTGTGTGTGTGTGTACATGTGTAGTGTAGTGGTGGGGTTTGCATTTCTGTTTCATTTTGCCAGCATATATCCTCATCCTTGTTATACAGTTTTCAAATCAGAATATGACCTTTCCTCCTATAAAAACATCTACATTTATCCTCTGAGGTATTTTCCCTGTCATGTTATTTTTTAAAATTTTTCCCGTTTTTGTAAAAACTTTATTGAGATAGAATTCACATACCTTACAGTTCACCATTTAAAGTGTACAATTCAGTGGTTTTTAGTGTATCCAGAGTTGTGTAATTGTCACCACAATCTGTTTAGGACATTTTCATTACCGCCCCAAAAAACCCGTGCTCTTTCCCTGTCACCCCCAAATGCTCCTGTCCCTCGCATGTAAATGTTGAAAGATATTTTTGCCCTCCAAAGCGGCTTATCCGTCATATTCCCACGAATGGTCCATTGGATGCTACTTTCCTTGGACCCTCCCGGTTATCAGAATATTTCATCTTTATCAGCTTTATAGATGGAAATTGTTTCTTACTTTGGTTTGCGTGTACTTCATCAGGAATGGTGCTGACTGTCATGATCTTTTGGCAGTTTGTGTCACCTGTCTGTGTGCTGCTTTGTAGACCTACTTTAAATAAAAGCAAACATATTGTCGCTGCTTTGTCCCCGTCCACTGGTGCATGCTACATGGGACAAAGACCACTATGAAGTCAGTCCACCCGAATTACAGAAACAAGAGTATCCTCGGAAGAGGCCTCGAGCACCCAGAAACCCTCCCTGGGGCTCACTACCTGTGTATCCCTGGATCACCTAGTGGCATCCATCTTCCTTTTGTAGGATGACTCCCGTCCGTCCCCCAGTGTGGGTACAATTACTGCTCCTCTGTTTCCCTCCATTTTTTCAAAAATATTTATTTATTTATTTTAGAGAGAGAGCACACACAAGCTAGGGGAAGGGCTGAGAGAGAGAAACTCAAGCAGACTCCATGCTGAGCACAGAGCCTGATGTGGGGGCTCAGTCTCAGGACCCTGAGATTATGACCAGGGCCGAAATTGAGAGCCGGACGCTGAACCAACTGAGCCACCCAGGCGCCCCCTATTTGCCACAGTTTGACTTTGTCTCAATCCATCAACCACTATTTTTTAAATGGACATTCCATGGTTTTTGTTCCGTGCTATTAAAAAAATCTAGTCACCCCAGGGGGTGCCTGGGTGGCTCAGTCAGTTAAGCGACTTCCTTAGGCTCACGTCATGATCTCAGGGTCCTGGGATCAAGCCCCACATCGGGCTCTCAGCTCAGCGGGGAGTCTGCTTCTCTCTCTCCCTCTGCTCCCCCTGCCCCACATACACACTCATGCTCTCTTGCTCTCTCTCTTTCTGAAATAAATAAAATCTTTTAAAAAATTAAAAAATAAAATAAAATCCAGTCACCCCAGATTAATCCTGTCTTTATATATACCTTTTACCTGGTCTGTGGGTCCTGATAGTTTTTTTCACCAGCTAAATTCCCTGGTGAAACCCCTACCAACTTTCCCCGGCTGGAGGGTCTTTGGGAAAAGTCAGAGCTAGGCTAATAAAGCCAGTGAGCCAGAACTTCCGGGAGCAAGCATTTTCCCACTGCTGCTTCCAGACCTGAGCCCCTTTGGCCAATAGTTACTGTCAGGTCCTTTTTATAGGGACCGTAGCCTGCAGTGATCAGACGTAAGGGGGAACCCTCAACCTTTTTCCACCATGACCTGACCACCAGGCACCAGAAAGCCTCGGACTGAGTCTGTTATTCATGCTAGTACTTGTTAGCACCCCCAGCAATCTGCCCCTTAGGTAAACCTCGCCCAGAAGATTCACCCGCAGCGGAGGTGACAACAATATTCAGGGGCATTCCTAGCATATGTGATGCTCTAGATGGACCATCTGTACTACTGCTTCCTCCAAACCGTGTATCATTTCCCGTATAACCTTGCAATGATCAGTAATAAGCATTATCTTCCTGACTCACTACGTACACAATTTAAAAAGAAATCTCATTTTTATTGATTAATATTCAAATGAGAGCCCAATGCCGCTTCGGTGATATTTTCTGCCAAACATGCGTGACCCAAATCTAGTAATGAGGAATTATCAGACAAACCAAACTGAGAGACATTCTACAAAATAACAGCCTTTCGACTTTAAAAGCGCCAAGGTCCCAAAAGTCAAGAATAGACCAAGGACTGTCCCAGACTGAAGGAGAGTGAGGAGACCATACGGCTAAATGCAACTTGTGACTCAGAACTGGATCCTTTTTCTAGAAAGGATATTATGGGACAATTGGTGAAATTTAAATGGGTCTGAGCATTGGATGGCACCATTGGATCAGTGTTGATGTCCTGATCTTAATGATTATATTGTGGTTATGTAGGAGAATGTCCTTGTTTGCAGGGAATATACACTAAGGAATTCAGGGTTAGTGGGACAACAGGTCAGCATCTTATTCAAATGGTTCAGGGGACAAATGTCATTTGTACAATAATTTGTACTATACTTCCAAGTTTTCTCTGTGATTTTTATGAAATACAAAAATTATTTTTAAAAACCTCAACAGTAATTGTAGCAATCGTTTAGAACTTAGGCCAACAAAAGACTTTTTTGAGGAGCATTATTTTTCACTAACATTTTTCAGAATTGCTGGTACAAGAGAACATTAAAAGGCAGAGGGCTTTCAAAGTCAGTTTGGTTATTGCTATTAAATTCTCTAAGATAGTACGTCCTCTTATTGCTCGCACCTGGAGAGGACAGTGCCCACCATCCCACCCTGGGTTCACCCTGATTACATTGGCAGATCCTGCAAACAACTTCTCCAGACTGTGCATTGGAATCCTCCACCCGATGCTAGGACCTGGTACACTGGGCCAGGTGAAGCACGAGAACAGGAAGGCCACTGGGGTCTGTCTGAGGCTGCTGGGCTGGCCAGATGCTTACACACTGTTCACATAGGACAATGTGCCTGTGTGGCGTCCAGCCAATCCACCACTCATTTTACCAGGGGAAAAAAATGTTTTTAAACATCCCAGTGCTGATTAAAAGAACTTTTTTAGAGTCAAATGTGACAAAGAAGCCCTTGAATTAGCTGCCTCTTTAGGGTGGGACTTCTGATCAGGCTGTTTCAAATGCTATCTCACTTACCTTGGGTGTGTATTCCTGATCATCCCCCCCACCCCGCCCCGCCCCGCAAGGGGTAGATCCCACTTACCCAGCACTTATACCTACTCACTCAATGATAAAGCAGGTGACCATGTTTCCCCACCTTGTAGCGCAGAGCAGAGGGCACTTGCGGAATGTGCGTGGTGTGTGCGTGCGCCTTTCTGCGTGCGTGTGCTGGGTATAAGCAACTCCATTTGACCTAAGCCTAGTAGGTTGTCAAGCTGTTTTTCCTCCTTCTTGAAAGCAGTTTGCAGTGGAGGCAGCGATCTTTAAAATGGAAGCAGTCACTCGCACCTGCAGCACAAGGGAGGCACAAACGCTAAGCAGAGCAGTGGCGGGGGCAGCAGGCTGGGCCACAGTCCCCATCCCCAGCCCGCGGCACAGGAAACGTACCAGGGCTGTGCGGGGTGGCATGGGGGTATTGAGCGGTTAGCCCTTCTGGGGGAGAAGCCTGGTTGTTGGTGAAGCTCTATCACCCCTGCACTTTCTCTGAGATAGCCCCACCTGGCTTTTCAGCCCCAAGGGAACAGCCTTCAGTATCTACGTGTCCTCCCTCCCTACCCCACCCCCCATCCTGTCTCCAGCTTCCAGGTGTGCTCAGGTCCCAAACCTCGATGGACATGAGTCACCATGGACCTTGTGAAAAGCACGTCCTGAGTTCTGCCCCAGGGGCTCTAACCCACTCAAGGTGTGCCTAGGAGCGTGCATTTTTAACCAACCCCCAGTATTTTGATGGCTGTGGTCCATGGACACTCAGAGAAACCCTGCTCTAGTACAGGAACACGGGGCTTGCGGGCAGAAAGCCCAAATCTGCCTTTGCAGCTCTTTTCTCCGCACACCAGAGGACCTCGGGCAAGTCACCCGAGCTCCCTGGGGCTCACGTTCTCGACCTCAACACCCAGGGTGTCTGTTGTAAGGACCAAACGCAGTAGAAGGCAAAGCGCTTTGCAAACTGTGAAGTTCTACAGAAGCAAGAGTAGGAGAATCTTGCCCTGGTTATTACGTTAACCTTGGTGATCTGCCGGTGGGTATTAAAGACGCTCGGGCTCGAAGCTTTTGGTGCCTCGTAAGCAATTTTTCAAAAGGTGTTATTCTCCCCCTCCCCGCCAGCCTTCAACACAGCCAAGTGTGAGAAATTGCAAAAGGAGAAGGAGGACCTGGAGAGGCGGTTTGAGGAGGAGGTGCGGAGGCTGGGCTGGCAGCAGCGGGCGGAGCTGCAGGACCTGGAGGAGAGGCTGCAGCGGCAGTTTGAGGCCGAGATGGTGCGCCTGCAGGAGGAGCACCACGCCCAGCTGCTGCGGATCCGGTGTCAGCACCGGGAGCAGGTCAGTCCGCCCTCGGCGCTCTGTCTCTGCTGTTGGGATACACAGGTGGAAGGTGGAGGGGTGCCAGCGCCGCTGCTTTAGCAAGAAGTGCTGCTCCGTAGGTGAGCTTCTGTCAAGTTCACTCTCCGACCTCATTTCTTCCTGCTGCTCCCTCTCCCCCCACCCCCCACAGCCACCCTGGCCTCCCTCCCGTGCCTTTCTTCCCAAGCACGCTCCCACCCTGGGGCTTTTGCATTTGCTGTGCCCTCTGCCTGGAATGCTGTCCCTCTAGACATTCCATGGCTCCCTCTTTCCGTCTCATCCAGACGTTTCTCCAAAGTCACTTTCTCAGCGAGGCCTTTCTTTATCTAAACTTACAGCCCCTCCCCCACCACCTACACACTCTTCCTGTCCTGTCCCTACTCTAGTCGCTTATCGCTGTTGAATGAACTATAAATTTTACTCGGGTCCCCTGTTTCTCATCTGTATATTCCTCGGAGGGCGGTGGTAATCACGAGCAGACGCACCTAGCACTTGTGATGCACTGGGGACTGCTCTTAACTCTCTACCTGTACCAATCATCCATCCTCGCAACAGCCCTGCGACATGGGTTCCTTCATCGCCCCCATCTCACGGGTGAGAAGACCGAGACCCAGGGGTTGAATCATCTGCCAGAACTCACAGGGTGGGGCCGGGAAAAGCCGGGGAGGAACCCAGTCTGGCTCCAGAGTCCAGGCAGTCCAGTGCGAAGTTTGAATTGTCGGCCGGGTCTACCCATGCCAGATGTCTGGTGCCTGACTGCCGAGCCTTCCCTCGGCACGCATCTGCGGAATGAAGGAACGAATTCTCTAGTTAACCTCAGCCCGACAGTCTTCGTAGTAGAGGGCAGTGGCTCCCTGGAGCCACTGAGGAGGATTCCCGGGGTCGTGCCGCCCCCCCCAAGCCTGCTCCCCTCCGGGACTGCGGCTTGTGCAGTGAGACAGAGGGTCAGCTGCGCTTCCGTGAGAGCTAGCTCGGCTCCTGTCTCTGCTCTTCCTTCCAGGCCCCCAGGGCTCTGATGCCCCGATGCCCGCCTTCTAACAGGTGTGTTATTTCACATCCCTAAAGTAAACTTGCATTTGTGCAGAAGTGCTCTTTAAATCTCAGGCGCGCGCTGAGTGGCCCTTCATTAGCATGAGTATTCGGGCTGCTCTTCTCGGACAGCTTCCAGATAAATAACCTGGACGGCAGTCCTGGAGGCTTGGGAATGCAGGGGGCACAAGAGTCATTTCAGAGTAATAATAAGTACTATTGTTGTCGTTTAAAATCTCCCATTGGACAGCCCTGTATTCGGCTTCTCGGGTTAGCGTTCTCCTTTTCTAGAGGCCTGTGGAAACCAGACACGCCTGCCTGCTTGAGGTGCTTTAGACCCCGAGACCAGGAAACAGAATAGCTGGCAGCTAGAGTTACCTGCTGCTGCTAAGATTAGAAACTGAGCCCCAGCATCTTGCCTCCTAAGCTTGCAGAGCAGAGCTCCCATGAGTAGACATTTGCACCTGTTGCTCTCCACAGCCTTCCCGATTTCCTGGCCCCTCGATACATCTCAAATGTGTGCAGAGACCCACTTGTTCTGTGCCTCTGTATCCCTGGGCTGTTCACTCCCAGTTTTACACAGATCATGTTTCCCCCTACATTCACTAAAAGATTTCTGATCTGAAGTTCCGGGTTGGTTGAGAAGATGCCAAGAGGCAGGGAGGTGGTCACCAGTAGGAGAAGGTGCTTTGAGGGAGCCCTCCGAGCAAAAGCCCCTGTCGGGGTGCAGTGTATGGGAACCAGAGAGCTGAAGCCACAGCTGAGCGGGGCCCGTCCACTGCTGCAACACCACTGGGGGCCTGACGGGGCTTCGCCGGGGCAGGCACACACGCTGGGAGATGGGCTCTCGCCTGGCCTCTGAGCTGGGCCACAGCAGCCCGGAAGAGATTTTATACTGGGAGGGATTGGAAAGAAAGAAGGCCCCCAACCTTTCCCCTTGAGAAGGAGTCACATAAGCCACCCATGTATATTTAAGAAGTGCTCTGTCTTAGGAAGGCTCTGAGTTCTGTTCTTCTCAGTCCTTCATAATAGCTAGTGATTCATTTATTCATTCATCCATGCAAAGAATTTTTGGCGAATGCCACCGCACGCAAGGCATTATGGCAGGCGACTGGGAGCGATACCAAGATATAGAACGTGTGGACTTGCTTGTGTCATAGCCCCAGGTTAGAGATCGGGGAAAGTTCTGAGACAAGTACCCAAGAAACTGTAATACTGGGTGAGGAGTACAGAGGACATGTTTAGGAATTCAGATTACTTCTAGCTATAAGGAAAGGGGAAAGCTTTATGATGGAAGTAGCTTCTGAAGACTTTATATGTGGGTAAGCCTTACCTGTGGAAACCCATTGGTTTGGGGGCGGGGGTGGAGGATCGTGATTTAAATCTATGAATTGTTCTGCTGCTATCCTGACCCTCCCCTTCTCCAGCAGAGAGCATGCAGGCAGTGGGGAGGAAGATGAAATGTACCTCAGTTCAGCATCCCAGTTTGCAGACAGAATAAATGCCTGTTGGTCAAGTGCATGACTGCCATGGAGATTTGGATGGTCTGTGGTGTGAGTTACCCACGCAGGAATCTCCACACTCGTTGGGTCTCCCTTATCAGGGACAATTGCATTTGGCAATGCTAACTCCACAGGTAGGAGCATCTCTTTGCTCCTGGAGCCTTAAAAATCAAGTTAACCAGTCTGGCTTCTCCTCATGCCCCAGCGCCCCATGGCTGGCAATGGGGAGGCCGCATCAGTTTCGACATGCAGGATTTTCGGGGGCTTTAACTCAACTTGGGAACTCACTGCTAGGGCAGGCTGACCTCTGAGTTCACTGCAGGATCTCCCGTAGGACAAATCCAGCCATTCGCTCCCCTGGAGGGGCAAAGACTGTCTCTCTCTGCCTACACCTGGGAATCACTTAGGGGAACCTCTGACAAAACACCGCTCCTCGTCTTCACCCCACATGAATTGAATCAGAATTGCTGAGGGGGGACCAGCATTGGTGGTCCGTAAAAGCCCCAGGGCCCAGCACTGCAGTCTCTGGTTAGGGGCACAAGCAGGGGGCATGGTCTTGCCTCTTGGCTTTCCTCAGTGACCTCCAAGGTATGGTAGGACTTTGATTTTAAAAGTATGACTAAAAGGTGTTTCATTAAAATCAGCTCCCATTCTATAGCTTGCTACACATTAATAGAAGCCAGATTGCCAGAGCTTCCCTTTCTCGAAGCACATAGAACAGATTTTCACTGTAAACACCCATGCTTTTCCCTGTTAGCCCTAAGCGGTGTTGCTTCTCTGTCCAGCTTGCAGCCCTCCCTTCTGGGCTGCCTGGGGCTGGTCCCCATGGATACTTAGCCACAGAGCCTGGTATCCAGTGACCAGATTTGTGATCTTTGACCCCATTGCTCCCAGACCCTTTGGCAGTTTGTCTTACTCCCTGACCTGGCCCTGAAGTCACCCTCTTCCGGGGGCCACTGGTTCCTAGATGCATTATGGATTCCGCTCAATAAAGTCTGAGCAGAGCCTTTGTTGAGGAGCGGCCGTGCTGGTCCTTTGGAGTTTCCACCGGCCTTGTCTCACATCCAGGACATACTTTCTCCCCTTTCCTGGAGAAATCATCCTTTTAGACTAGCTGGCAGGCTCAGCATCCCCACGGGTAATCGGAGGCCACTTTGTCCATCATCTTGCATCAGGTCTCTTTGGTCATGCGTGCTACACTCTCCCTAATCAAACAGAATGAGGTCCCCGGGGGCCCAGTGTCTTGCAGCACCAGAGCCCCCGCACGCTGGGGGGAGGCGGCCCAGGGAAGATAGGGCCTTCCATGCACAGCTGCCCACGCGCTGGGCTGGAGAAGGGGCAGAGGCGCGACCCGGACCCGAGGAAGTCGCACTGGGCGCTGTGGCATGGCTGGCAGCCTGCTCGAGTCAGGGCCCAGGATGCTGTACCAGGGACAGAAGGCAAGGAGGGTCTCGGCGTTACCTGGAAAGGAACATCGAGAGAGCCCTGGGGAGAGTCAACATGGGCCGGCTCCCTCTGTCTGATCACATATGAATACAGAGTCTGGGGTGGCGGTAAATGGGAGTTTAATCTGGTTTGGGTTTAATGAGTGAAACCGAGACGACACGAAGCGCAGAGGCTTCTTCATTCTAAAGGTCCGTCTTCTCGAAGTGAATTGCCAAAGCCTCAGACAACTGTATTTTGCAAATGGCTGAGTGAGGCAGGCCCCACAGCTGTATTCTCGCCCCCCTGAGGGTGGTTTTTCCAAGCCTTTGTCTGCTGTAATTCAGCCCGATAGAGTTTACTGCCTTTTGTCTCTGGGTGATCTGTGCACAAAATGACCTTGCGTTTCCCTTCGTTCACCTTGCCTGAATCTCCTCTTCAGAAGGTTTCCAGTCTCCTTAGGCTGAGAGCCCTTACTGGCTGCTTCGGAGTGCGAGCCCGTGCTCCAGAAATAAGCCAGGAACCATGGCAGATGTTGTGGGGATTAATACCATGACAACAGAGAGGATGCCAAGAGTGGACAGCCCTTTCCTCGTATTCTTTAAAAACCATAAAGATGTATAGAAATTACTGAAATTACTAAATTACCAAAGAGTTAGGATTATTGTGCCCAAATTTTGGCTCATTGACTCTCTCTGGTTTCCTTCAAAATGTACTGGGCACTCCACTCTTTGCATATGGCCTTTCAGAGTTAGGGACGTGGTATTACAATTCATAAAAGCACCTCTGAGAGGCCATAACAGAGAGATCATGCCCTTACGTCACCGTTAATGTATTGGGGGTGGTATGTTATCACCGGTAAGTCAAAGACCTGCCTTCCAACAAACCAGAAGGGCGTATGTTTAGCCGCAAACATAGTGTAGCATTGACCAGTCAGGGCCTATCCAGCTCCAGAGACGTGCGGGACTTTTCTCGAACCTAGCCCTTCCGTTCATCTGTCTTTCCTGAAACTACCCATGGCAATTTGTATAAAAGCCCAATAAATTAGAATCATACCAAAGACTGATGAAAGATTTTTCTTTATTCTGAACTGGGTAACGTAACTCCAGATAATGTGTGGGTACTTGTTTCTACAGTGTGCTATGGGCTTAACTGACATCAGTAATAAAGCAGAAAGAAAAGATATTTCCATTTTTTTAAGTCAGTGATTTATTTTTCCAAGAGACTAAAAGACTCTGGACAAAGATGCCATAAAAACCTCATATAAACAGGATTTGGACAATTAGATACTGTGGTAATCAGCCTTTCTGCTGAGTGCACTCATAGCTCTGAGCCTTAAGTAAAATATTGTTTAATCAAGAATGACCAGTAAATAAAAGTGAACCATTGCATACCATGTCCGTTTGCATTTTATCATGCAGCTTTCCTAACACGGTGGAGTTCATTGTTGGTTTTGCCAGAGATATTTCTTTTTTAATGGATGATGTTCTCATCTTCCATAGGAGAGAGGAGTCAGACAAATTATCCCACGCAATCACACTATCCAGAATGGGAATCCATCCCATTTTAAAATAAAAAATACTCAGATGCATCCACTTCGCAAGTGGGCTTCCTTTCTTGTGGAGAGCCCTTCCTCCCTTCAAATCAAAGGTCAGCCTGTGAATTATCCCCAGAAAAAGGAGGGACTCTAAGAGATGGCTGAATATTACCTGCTAGAAGCAGTGTGTTCTTACCTGGTCCATCAAAGATCTTCAGGCCCCGGGGCCCATTTCCTGGTTCAGTGTTTCTCAAATGCCAGGTTTTGATACACTAGTAGGTCATGAAATAAATGTAGCAGTTTGCAACTGGCATTTTGAAAAACAAAGTAAGATAGAAATTTTAAAACCAGGTTATTTCAAGGAGGAAGGGAAAGGGTTGTCTTATGGAACTTCGGTTTTGTGTGTGAGTGGGCCCATGCTCAACGCAAGGTACGGTGGTATTTTTTAACAATGGTTCACTGACAAAGAATTTGGAAAAACACTGTTCTGGTTTGCTACCATGGGGAGAGGTGGTGTTTTGAAATTACTCCTAAAAGTCATCCATTCAAGGTTAAAGCAGCAGCCACAACAATAACAAAAACAGTAAACATATTGGGGGGTGGGGCAGTTTGCAGAGATCAGGAAGGGTGGAAATAAAAATCCTGGACCAGCCACACTACCTGTGATTACATTCTGGAAATGTGCCTTCAGCCAGAGAAACGGGAGTAGCTCCACGTTGCCGGGGACGGGGGGAGTCCAAATTGCAACCTGGAGGTCAAGGTTATGGTGAAGCAGACACGCTGAGCGCACAGATCTGCCAGCCTGTCCTGGCGCTGGGGAGAACATCTTGAGGCATTGGTTGTGGTCTTGCTGGGGCAGGCAACAACGGTGAGTTTGAGAGAGTTTCACCAGTGGAGTTAACAGGCCTAAGCCGACTACCAGCTCTGCCATTTACGAGTCCTTGGCAAAACATTTCAAACCCTTCTAAGCCTCGGTCTCCTTATCTGTAAAATGGGCATAAAAATACCTACTTCGTGATGTTGCTGTGAGAGTTAAGTGCAGGAACCAATAGCAGGTGGCTTAAGAAAGGTTAGTTCCCTCCGTTTGTCTTGTGTACTGATGCTCCCACCTGCCATGGGGCAACAGAGAGCCGATCATCCAGTAGAGGGCCCTCTTCTTCTCCTTGTCCACCATTGTTTCAGTGATTGGGCAGGAGAGGGAATGGGGGTGGGAAGGGACGGGCCGGAAACCAGGCCCTGGGCAGTGAGGAGGTGGCTCAGGCAGCTGTCAGCCGCCTACAGGCAGCTGGGCTGAGGTGGTGACTTCCCTGTGACCTCCCCCTGACTCAGGGGCTGCCACAACATCGCCAGATCCTGGCTCCCCTGCCTTGGCGCAAGGCCGAGACGGCTGTCCTCTCAGCAGAATGGCTTGTCCTTGACGTTTTGGCCACAGACATTTCTACTGGTTGAGTTCCACCTGTGTTCTCCGAGCAGCGAGGACACTCCTGCCACCCACTTCCCCCATCTCTGTGTGTAACCATAGCTGTGGCCTCCTTCAGGTAGAAGATCTCACGGCCAGCCATGAGGCTGCTCTCCTAGAGATGGAAAATAACCACACGGTAGCCATCGCGATCCTGCAGGATGACCATCACCACAAAGTCCAAGGTAGCTACCAGCCCTGACGTGTGCAGCCGTTCGGCCATTCGGGGTGGGCCGTGCGAGCCAAACCAGTGTATACTGCTGCCTTTCCTCTCTTGCTCCTCTCTCCGTTTCCCCCTCCTCTCTGTCCTGGTGTGTCTTTCGTGTTGCTTCCTATGGAAAGAAGAGAGAAAAGATCCAGGATCCATCCAGGTAACTACATTTTTCCTCAGAAACATTTACCCTCAAACTTGCCTGGATATGAGAACCTTGGGGAGCTGTGCCGGGGGACGGACACCAGCCCAGGTCCCACCCGGCGATCCCATGTAGCTGCTGTGGGGTGCCTTCTGCACATCATAATTGTTCAGGGTTCCTGAGGTCATTCTGAGGGGTCTCAAAGCTGGAGAACCACCCTTCCAAAGTAGGCCTGGAAGTCCTGGGCTTTACCTTGTCTTGTTGCCTTTTAAAACAAAATGGCGACCCCAAGGTAGGTGCACTTTCCCCACATTTATGGCACGTTCAGGGCCACAGCAGCGTCCAGCTGGATCTGGGTCTCCACATCTCATACCTGCCCCACATTCCCCGTGGGCTACGCAGAGCTCCAAATCTTTTTTACATTTTTTTGTAACTTCGAATTATCTTTCAATACATAGAGGTTTTTTTGTGAGTCATAACAACACTAACAACGTTTACCAAGTACTACTAAGATTTTTACTTTGTGAAAGAAGCTTTTTTACACTTTTGACATGCATTTCCGTTAGTATATATGATTTATTTTTCAATTTCTCTCCCTACCTCACTTTTTTTCCCTAGTTAACTGGTTGTTTAAGCATATTAAAAGCAATAGAATTTAATAAATAGATTAACGAATTTTAAGAATTTGGAAGTTAACATCAGAGTTTTTTTTTTAAGATGCATTTATTTATTTTAGAGAGAGACCATGAGTGTGAGGGACAGAGGGAGAGGGAGAGAGAATCTCAAGCAGACTCCGTGCTGCGCACAGAGCCCGACATAGGGTTTTATCTCACAACTCTGAGATCACAACCTGAGCCAAAATCAAGAGTTAGTTGCTTTAACCGACTGAGCCACCCAGGCGCCCCAACATCAGATTTCTTAAAAATTATTTTAAAAATGTTCTTTGTAAACAACAAAATCTGCTGTGCAACAACCAATACTCATGTTTTGCTTCCCTCAAGCACCAGCCCCACCACCTCTGGGACTTATTAGTACATGAAGAAGTCCAAGCTGGAGTCAAGGAAGAGTACTTCCCTGAGAACTACTTAAATGTATTATCTGTGTCCTGAGAGCATGTCTCCCACTTAGAGTACCAATTACCACCCTTGGCTGCACATTAGAACCACCTGGGGATTTTTTTTTTTAACACTTAGGTATAGATCCCACTGCAGAGATTCTAATTTAATCGCTTTGGAGTGCAGCCTAGGCATCAGGATTTTTTAAAGCTCTCCGGGTGATTCTAACATGCAGCAAAATTTGAGAACCACTGTCTTAGAGCACAGTATTAAGCATGGGACAGAGTGTCATGACCTTAAAATAATGAAATTCATTATGGGTATATAGATACTAGCGATGGTTTATACCATCTCCAGAATAGGTATTAACTTTTATCTTGGGTTTTTGGGATCATCTGCAAGTGTTCTAAAATCCATCACTGCACTGTAGGAAAATGGTCTCTGGAAAGGTAATATGAATGGAAATAGTGCAATGAGCCATGGTGTTGCCTTTTGCTTTTGCATTTTCATAAAAATAGACCAGGTAGATTTTTCTGATGAATGAATCTCACTTAGATACCTACATCCAAGGCATTTGAATTATATATAAATGTCATGGCAATGTAGGTGTATTTAATGTTAGATAAAAAATTTATTACTATGGTCAGGGCGATGCTCTCAATGACTATTAAAACTAATCATGTAGACAGAGCCAGGTAGACCAGAAGCCTACATAGCTTTATATCAATGAAATCAGCACAAACTTCTTTTTTCCCCAAATGTAAATTTCATCTATAAACAACTGGATTTCTTAGAGACTTTCACTGTCATTACTTGAAAGATTTGGGTCAGTGGAAACCACAAAGTCTTTCCTAATTGCAGCTCATGCCAGCCAGAATGATAATTGCTGGCCTCCAGTGGTCTCCTGTTCTAAGCATGCGATCCTGGCTGATTAATGGGACCTTTCCTCCCTGCAGTTATAACATGAAAACGAATTGCTTGTGTAGCCAGAATGAGATGCGCTTCACCCAGCTAATAAGACTCTTTCCATCTGGAGGAAAATAGAATCCATTCACTAATAACTCTTACATGACATCTCTTTCTGCCTAACTTGCAAATTATTACTGGAATGACACTTTTCACAGAATAGAATTGTTCCAGACTCTCTAAGAGGAGCCAGTCCAATTAGTCCTTCCTTCTGTCCGAGTGTCTTAATATCGTCTCTTTGATCAAGCAAATCTTGAGATCTGTGGTTTCCAAAGTGTGGCCCAGAGGCCACCAAGGTGTCCTTGCAGACACAGACCTGGCCCCCTTCACACATCCATTCCCCAGCAAGCCCAGGCTGACAGGATGGCTGCTAACAGCAACACTCTCCTTGGAAGGCCACCTTCTTCAGCCCCAGACTGCTGCTTCGTGGTGGAAAGGAGAGTGATTTAACATTGATGACCCAGCTGTTCGACCATGAGGAAAACTTGGAGAATCAATGAGTATTGTGGAGAATCCAACTAGGCCAGAGTGTGGTCCAGCAGGTTGTAGGAACGAGTGTGGGTGTGTTTGCATGTGCGTGTGTGCATGTGCTCCCAAGCATGACTGTGGGTTTGTTTTTTTTTTAATTTACTTTTTTAGAGAGAGGGAGTGGGGAAGGAGCAGAGGTTGAGAGAATTTTAAGCAGGCTCCACACTCAGCACAAAGCCCAACATGAAGCTTGATCCCACGACCCTGAGATCATGACCTGAGCTGAAATCAAGAGTCAGACGCTTAACCGACTGAGCCACCCAGGCGCCCCTACACGATTGTGTTGTGTCTGTTTCCCTCCCTCATTTCTTTTCTCTTTCCCTCTTTTTCCTTCTTTGTCCTATTCCCTTCCTCTTTCTTTCGCTGTCTTCTAAATAGCACTACATATAATTTCGAAGGATGGAGAAGTCTCTTGAGGCTTCGGTCTGCTATCTACCGGTGTCCCTTATTCACCTCCATCCTGAGTCTGGCAGAGTCTTGTTTGATCCTTTTCAAAAGACTAACTTGACTATTTGATCTCTTCTCTCCAGAACTGATGTCTACCCATGAGCTTGAAAAGAAAGAATTGGAAGAAAATTTTGAAAAGCTGCGGCTGTCATTACAGGTTAATATTCATTCTCTTAACTCCGATATCAAAATAATGGCAGCATCGTTATGGCTGTTTGCAGATGTTTATCCAGCACCTACTGTGTACTGGTTCCTGTACTAAGCACTGGAATATAGAGGTAAATGGGACATGCTCCCTGCCCTTTGGGAAGTTACTGTCCGCTCAGACAGCTGTGACCTAAACAGTGACAGACAACACACAAGGTAACACGTACTTACACCCAGTGAATAATACCATTAGTGAGCACACAGGAGTTCCGAGGCACTGCTCCCCACTTGCCATGGTCAGAGGGGTACCTGAGCTGTGTCTGAAGGAAAGGGAAGACTTGGGGAGAACATTCTAGGCAGGGGGAATAAAGGGGTCCTAACGGACAGATGTCATAGGACATGTTGTGGGAATTATAAAAGGGACTTTAATCACCTGGAGGGGAGTGAGATGAAAAGAACCTTCTTTGCCTTCCACTGCCAACCTGCAGAAAACGTGGGTCTCAGAGGCCAAGGAGCTGCCTGGCTTCCTTCTGACCTCGGGAAGAATGACGGGTCTCCCCAGTCACGTGCATCTCCCTCCTGCCCTCTAGAGACCCAGGCCACCCCCAGCCTCAGGGTGGAGCCGCCTGGGAAGCAAGGGTGAGGTCGGGGGCCCTGCTTCCATTCCCGACTAAGGCTGCCTCAATCATAACAAGATTCTTTGTGAAATATTAGGAATACTCACTGGAAATTGTGAAAGGTGAGGACTAAAACTGTAATACAAAGGTGAAATTTTTGCTTCTTTGATGGTGTCCTTTCTCCGGCAGTGTTCATTGTACAGAGCCTGCCCACCACGAAACGAATCCAGGATTGTGGAGACAGCAAGTGTCACCAATATGGAATGTACTATTCAGAAGTTTTAAAATGGGCAACCACCTGCTGTGAGCCGGCCCCCCCCCACCCCCCGCCCCGATCCATCGGTCCGTCGACGGCCCTGCAGAATGCTTGTGCAGTCCTCACGTGGCTTAGCCTCAGCACATTAACCCCAAACTGCCCTCGAGTGCCCCCCATCCCACACCATCAGATGCACTCCCCCTCAGGAACACAAACCAGGACCATACCGTGATGTAACAAAAACCCCTTCCGGTCCAAAACCAAAAGAAGTGAGAGTTTCATTTCACATATGAGTCTTCACTCTGCCACTAACATTAAACTGACGTGAATTGTACATAGTTTAGTTGTAACTCTCCGTGGGCAGAATTCATTGGGGCTGGAGATTATTTGGTACAAAGGGGATGCAATTGCTTAAGCCGAACTTTCTGGGCTACTGGGTGGCTAGAGAAACAGGTCTGGGGACAAGAGAGAGATGTGAGCTTTGAGTTTAAATCCCCAGTGTACCTCCTCTTACTAGCTTTGAAGTCATGGACAGTTACATAAGCTCTGTAAACTTGACTTTACTCATCTGTAAAATGGGGGCGATTGACAATACCTTCCTCAGGGTGTGAGCAGATTAAGGGAAATAATGGCTGTAAAGCGCATAGCACTAGGTTGGCTCGTGGTAGATGCTAATAAGTAGCGGCTGTGGGCTATGATAATATGATAATAGTTTCAAGCACTGTTAACACTTACCACCACTTTTGTCACGCCATCGGTTAATTCCTGAGTGGCCCATGCTGTGCCGGATTACCAGCTGGGCTTTTCTGCCTCTCAGCTTGACTCAAAGGAGCCAACCCAAGTTGAAAAGCAGTCTGTTCTGCCTGACGGCTGTGGCACGGTTCTGTGCCTATGGGTCTGTTTCGAGTAATGGTGAATAAGGCAGAAGAAGAACAGTTCGACATTTTAGATCCATCCCAGGTGGTATTTGCCTGGTGCATCTTTCATTGTTTTGCTTTTCAACGGAGGAGGAGAGACTTGAAAGAAATGCCTCCTCTGACAGCGAGGAGGAGTTTGGCGTAGGCGCCACGTAGCAGTTCAGGCTTTCGTGTAGTCACGTTCTAGAAGGAGACTGCACCGCACAGCGACTGTGCTGGACCCCGGCCGGGGTCGCCCTGGGCTGGGATCTACATTCCCCAGCTCCTGTGCGTGTCAGCTCTACCGCCCTAACGCACCAGCACTTGCATTTAATGGCACGGGGGGGGGCTTTTTCTTTCTTTTTTTTTTTCCTTAAAAATGAAATTGGAAGTAACCGGAAACAACAAAAAAAAAAAAAAAAAAAGGAAAAGGAACCTGCCAAAGATGGTTTGCAAACCAGGGTCCTCTGGCGAGATGGAGAAAGCGGGCAAGCCAGCACTTCTACATGACAGTGTCCTTGTGTGGGATTACATAATTTACAACACCTCGCTCTTAATACGAGGGAGAAGAGTTCCTGGGGAGACCCTAGTCCCTTCATTTTAATGTCACTGAAATGGTGTCACGGGGCGGAGAGCTTTGGGATACTCTGCGCTAATGAGGCACCGTCTCTCACTGCGCTTGCGCGTCGAGAGGACGCCACTGCCCGGCGTCCTTCGCTCGCCTGCAGTGATCAGGCATCGCTGGGGTTGCAAGGGAGGTTGGGGGCAGTTGCACCTGCCCGGGCAGCCAGGGAAGGGGCAGGAAATGGTTCCTCCTCGGACATGCCATCATCTTCTCAGCCTGCACACGGAGAGCTGCTGCAGCAGCAGCACTGGTCTAGCTGGGCAGAGGGTCTACACGGGAGACAAGACTCCGCTCCCATGGCAGCTCATGCCAGGGACACGCAGTCCAGCCTTGAGGCCCGGAAAGGCGAGGGGAGGCCGGAAGTGAGCGGAGAAGGCGAGGGAGCCAGAATGTAAGGTGTCGGGGAGAGGGTGGGTTGTACAGTGAGAACTGAGCTGGGAGACAAGAGAGGCTGATCAGGAGCTACGTCAACACTGTGTAAAGTATGCACTTCATCTTGATGCCAGCGGGGTTTTACATGGAGGGGGTGACGGGCTCAGGTTTGCACTTTAGGAAGCTCCCCCTGACTCTAGCGTGAAGGCAGAGGAGTTATAACCCAGGTCCAGGAAAGACCAGCAGCGGGGCTAAACTTCAGGTAGAGGGAGAGGGACCAAGAGAGTTCGTGGACTCTGGGGACATTAAGCAGGTGGAGTTGGTGGGACTTGATCCTTGGCCTCAAAATTAGTGTGTTTGGTGGTAGGAGGAGGGGTCTCAGACAGAGAGGGAAGTCAAGGATGGTTCGATGGTTTATAAATGAGGACAGTTCTTTGAGATGGATATATTGTTCTTCCTAAAGTCGTGTCTGCAGTGGAGCGAGCTGGGCTTCTTGTCATTCTTTGCAGGACCAGGTGGACACACTGACCTTCCAGAGCCAGTGTCTGCGGGACCGAGCCAGACGCTTTGAGGAGGCTCTGCGGAAGAACACCGAAGAGCAGCTGGAGGTAGTCCTGCTCCCCAGGCCCGGCAGCCCCACCGGGGCCTCACCCCGGGAGTCACCTCAGGGGTACCTCAGGACCTCTGTGTGGATCCGCTGCCACAGTGATGGCTAGCCAGGACATGTCCCTGTCAGCACCTCTCTCCTGACACACAGCACAGCTGTGGGTTTCTCCAGCGACATGTTATCCTTGCCAGTGGCCCACTGCCCCCCCACCAGCCACTGTCCCTGAGCTCTCCACCCCGGCCAGGACCTGCCCTTCCACTCCGTTCTCTGCCAGCTTCGGTTAGGCTGGCACGGGAGGCACCCCTCAGTGCCTGCCTTAGTAGGGTGAGGGCAGTGTTTTCCAGAAAAGCAGGCAAAATTCCTTCCCACTGATAGAGGGTCACCAGATAAAATACAGGACACCCAGTTCCATTTGAATTCTAAATAAGTGAATTTTTTAGTATAAGTATATCCCATGTAATACTTATACTTAAAAGGTGGTTTATCTGGAATTCTTAACTCAATGTCCTATATTTTGTTGTTGTTGTTGTTACATCTGGCAACCTTACTGTAGCATTTCTTTTTCTAAAGTGCCTTCTGTGTGCTTTTTAAACCACTTTGCTCATTTCCCATGCAAGGATGGCCCCCCACCCCAACTCTGCATGGGCACAGGGGAGACCTGTAAATCCCAACTTCTCTGTTGAATCAAGCAGTCTGGGTCAATGTTAAAAGCCAGTGTTGAATTTACTCTTTTTACCCCATGAGCTCCCTTTTGGGGATGGGCTGGTCGCTTCCAGCCGTCCCAGCATCCAGAGTTTTCAGTAGATGGTGGCCTTACCTCCCTTGTTCCCCAGGGAGCTGGATTTCTCATAGCATTTCCCGTGGGAAATCCGTGAGCATTCATCTTTTTTTAAAAAATTTTTTATTGTTATGTTAATCACCATACATTACATCATTAGTTTTTGATGTAGTGTTCCATGATTCATTGTGCATAAC